GGTAAAACACGAGTACCATAACATGTGTTTGTATTATGAGCATCACTGTATCCCTTACCCATAGTACACATTCTACAGCTGCCCTCCAGGCATTCCAGAAGATCCGCTTAGGGTGCACAAAAAAAACCAGTCTACTATAATGTACGGAATATATGTGAAATATGTGAAATACACATGCGGATCGGGCAGTAGGCGGTATAGGTTGAGAACCAATGGCTAACAGGTAGGGAAGCCGCAACGGATCGCGGTATAAATCGGCTACTTTTCATGTCGCGGACTATAAAACCCTGTTTTTACGGTGTAGTAAGGCTAACGAAAAATTTCAATGGCTTTATTCAATCTTCTCCGGAAACGCGGACCATTTTGCAAAAAAAAAAAAAAAAAACTACGTACAAATAGGTTCAGTAGTTTTTGAGTCGATTAATCTCATGTGTACTAACATCCATTTATACATGTATATATCGGTGAACGAGTATCGGTAATAGTGGTACGATCGAATGTTTTATACGTTTATTTTATTTCTATTCGTAGAGCATTTGAAATTGAAAATGTTTTGATTTTATTATACTACAATTAAATGATTAAATACGTTGTTCTGTTTGTTCTGTTGGTGAAAATAATGATCGAGTCGTGGTCGTTTGATTTATTCAATTACTTAACTAAATTATCAGGTACTTTAAAATAGTAGATAATAACTAATGAGTAATCGATTTGAGGTACCTCATTCAGCATAAAATACACACGAATAACATATTATGTCTATTTCGTTTGACGAAAGTAGGCAATAGTCCGTATTTTTTTTTCATTTCAATTATATTTTTGAAAAAAACACAAGTGTGTTGATAAGGAACGTGAATCATTTTTATTCGTAAACGTTTTTACTAAGTATTACTAATTATTCAAATCACTATTGTGTATTTATCTGATTTCGTAATAAATGATTCGTTTAATACAATAGCATTTATCTGTATGATTAAACGAATGTTTCATAACTGACCTCCATTAATGAAAATATATCTCTGTTACAGTTCAAAATTAAAATTAATTAACATAACGTTGTATTGGCTGCAAACAAATTGTAACAATTATCGTAAGTAAATTTTTTTTTGTTTTGTCATATTAGATTTTAATTAAACAACTAGTGACGTATATATGTGGGGAATATTTTAACGTGCGTATAAAATGTTGTATATGTCAATTGTAATGGAATCACAAAAACATTAATTTTTCGTCCGATGAGGTATAATAATTCATGTTTGATATTGACATCAAAACTACGTAAATAATTTAACACCTCTTCACCACATGAGAAAATGTAATGTAAATATGAAAACATTTATAACATTTCACTTAAGGTATCAACGGGTATCGGATGCATCGGATGCTACGGGTAACTATTCGTATTCTTCACAAACGACAAGGGCGTACCCAAGGAGGGGTTTTCGGGTCCGGCCCCCCCCCCCCAATGAAAATGTCTACATACTCAACGATTTAATAATAAATAGTATAATAATAGTATATATTGTATTTTAATTTCCTATTATCTTTAATATACAAAGTTTATAGATTATATAATATACCTATAATGTATAAACCATACTACAATATATTAACAGAAATTTGTTGGTATTGAGTTAAACTGTAAATATAATTAGAGAACAGATAAAATAAAAATGTTGGACCTCCTCCATAAAAAATTCCTGGGTACGCTTCTGACAGACATTATATTTAAAATAGGTATTAATTTTTTATTTTACAATAATACTTTTGGTTTGATTTCATTAGCTAAAAATAATATTTTGGTTGAACAAATCGCTAATTAAATAGTTTATTCAATATTTTTCAAACATACATAATTTAATATTTAGATAACCATACAACCAAACAGTTATAAAATTTGTTCATAAATCATATAATAAAATTTAATTAAAAGATTAAAAAAAAAATAGCTGATTGTAATATATTCCACTTAATCAGTTATTTTTTCAAGAATATTTAGGCAACAATATATTATAGGTATAACATTCTAATTAAATAAGAAAATAATAAAATTAAAATTAATGACCAAATAATACATGTAATATAAGCTTTAAAAACCAAACCGTTTTCTGATTTCTTGTTTTATATAATAAAAAAATAGCAATAGTATTAAGTCACATGAAAATATTCTTAATCATTCCTTTATTGTAAGCCACAGTGTTAAATCACATGCATAATACATATATCGTAGTGCACAAAAACCGAAACGTGTAACACTTACATCAGTTCTTTAACTAATGCGTTTTATATTGGATTTAAATCCTCGTTATCATTCGTCAATAATATAATAAATTGCTCTACAATAACCGTTTTAACAAGACTGAAGTAAACCAGGGTGGGGGGGGGGTAAGGCGTTGATTAGATTTTTAAATTCGAGCATGAGTGAAATTCGCTTGGTAGTATTTTAACGTTACGCGTTCTTAAAGTTGTCGGATGGAGAACGTGAACAATTATTATATTGTTTAATTTTTAAACTTGTATTGTGCATATTAGCAGCGTAACAACGGACCTAATATAATTTTAATTCGATTCGTAATGAACACACTCGCGTTGTTGGTTACATTGTCTTGAACGTTTAAACGGTTTCGATTCGATAGAAAAGCGTACGAACGTATGGAAACCGAACAATGTTTAAGCTGGTTGACCGTATTCCCCTCTCGCAGTGGTAAGCGTTTTTAAAAAAAAAAAAAAAAAACACGAGGCCCACTAAATAATAATCGCCGGAATTTCGTTAAGTGAACAAACGCGAAGCGTTTTCGACGGCGGCGACGTTTCGCTTCCTCTTGACGTGACTAAATATATTCTCTCCGTACAACCCCTACCACCGTTATTTCGATCGTTCTCTGCTGGACCGACGCCAACGCGTAGTAATAATAACAACAACAACAACAACAACAAACCGTGTACACGGTGTAGAACGGTGGTGGTATTGCGTCTTAAAAGAACAAGAAAAACAGATACCAATGTCACGGTATTATATTAAGAATAAAGAGAGATAGAGAGAGAGTGAGGGAGAGGGAAAATATTAAAAGAATCTTTGGCGCGTACGAAACACAAACTCACTGGCCACCCTCGGTCTGGACGACCTCCTACTGCGTCACGTTCGGATGGAAGGGATGACTGGGCCGTCGAAAATTAGTAGCGCAGTTCGTTCGGGTGGGAGAGAGATCGCACGTGTGCGATACAACCTCACCTACAAGTAGTACGACGCGTATGGCGCGACGAGCCAAAAAAAAAAAAGAAAAAAGGGAATGGACAAAAAAAATTCTCCGACTGATCTCTATCGCGGTAAAAATGTGATAGGTAGGTGTAACAATAAGTGCAATTTTTCTATTCATTTAGTTGACCGGTCGACACAAATGTGAAAATATTCTGTCGCCTAGCTGACGGTATTCCGAAACACTAACCATCTAAAAATTGTACGATAGATAAAATTGTATATAAAGGGATGGGTTATGTGTTTGGTGTGATCCGGGATTTTTTGATACAGAATTAAGAGTCAAGCGTTGGAAAATAAATATAAAATCTGTAGTTATATCCGACAGAGGTTGGTGAATACCACACCGGGTAAGTTTAAAGGGATTTTAAAAAAGGCAAAAAGGCAAGAGTATTTTTCGGATAATTTTTAGGATCCCTCAAGGAGAGAAAAACGGTCTTAGACGTCTTCAACGCAATTCCATATGTACATAGTTACACGCATTTGGAAACCAACGGAACGCATAGTGACGTATCAAACGTTTCCGAAAATGTTTTCATGTTTTTAGAATTTTTCAAAACGCACATAACAATATCGGTTCCGAGCCGTTTCCGTCGCGACTCGACGGACAGGTTATTTGGTGTATTAGAAAGGAGTGGCTTTTACATTTACGTGGGTACGATCTGAACGATTTTCGCTGTAATGTTTATGTGAAAGGAAAAATAAAAATAAAAACCCTCAAACGATTTTCCAATATGTGTTTTCCGTCGAAATTTTTCTGCGGAACTCTGGTGCTGCCGTGGCGGGGGACCTTTGTCGGGAAAAGTTCGTTCGGAGCAGCTGTAGGTACTGGTAACCAAAGAGTCTGCGCACGGTTTCAACCTTGCACCCGAAACGTCGGATTCGGTTTTTCCCGCCGAGATCCACGCGTAGGTTTTCGGTTTTATCTGGGTTCGCATCGGGGGGTTGTTCGTCCGCGGGTCCGGCGAGCAGGAAGAACAACCCGTCCGCGCAGGTCAGAACGTATTTTAAGTAATTTTCACTGTGCAGCACTTCAATAGAATCGTCTACCATCGTAGTTCGGTAGTGCGTGGTGTTCTTCTGCAGATGAACCGTACGGGCAGATGTGGAACTAGGAATTTTTACGCCGCCGGGGAGAGAATGTTAAAACTGCGCCCTACCATGGACCAATAATCAAATACTCTATCTTATTAATACAATCATACTCGTTGAGTTTTTAACCTAAACCAATGTTTAACAAAGTCGAAAACATCGTATGATAGTTGTTGCAAAAATTACACCATCCAAATCGTTACGCCCGGGGACGAACCTTCCGGCCCCTGGTTCCGCCGCTGGGGATAATCGACTGCTGTCACTGCGGTCGTCGTTGGTTTATCGGCACCTACTGGGGTGCCACGTACCTCGTACGTTAAAAACACGTTCCGAAGCGACGGCCGACGCGAAACGCACCGGGTTTTCGGACGGCGTCGCGCGACCCCGTTACGCGTTGTTCGGTACCGGAAGCGTTTCGACGCGCAAAACGGTCGAGAACGTTGAGACCGTCGGTCGGTACCTCGACCGCCGTGCACGGCCGTCGAACCGACGGCAAGGGGTGCGCGCGCGCGCGCGGGGGGAAGAGCGCGAAAGAACCGTTTCGGACACGTGCGCCGTTCGTTCGTCGCGCGTTTCAATACGTTCCGAACGCCGTATCGCGCGGTTCGCGGTTCGCGGTACGCGGCGGCGGCGGCGGCGGCGACGTCGGTTCGCACTCGCGCGTCGTGCCCTCGCAGTCGCAGTCGATCCGTAAACACGCGCGCGCGCCTCAACCGCCGCCATCGACGCAGCCGTACGCGATAACGAGTGCTCCTGCACGGCACCGCCACCGATACACTCGTACCGCTCGCGCGTCCGTCACACACGCGCCGCGCGCTCGCTTGTCCCCGATCGGTTTCGTTCGCGGCGTTCGGTTCCCGGCACGGCCGTTTCGTGTTCCCGCCGACGCGCAGCCGCAACTCCCGTCCCAACGGCAACGCGTTCCCGGCGGTCGGGCGTAGGAAGGCTCGCGGACCCGGTAACCGGTAACGCGGTCGGCGGTGCGCCGCGCGGAACATGCGGTATCTGTTCGCTCGCACGGCCGTCGAACAAACGACGCGGTAGTGGTCGCCGCGCCCGGAACGGTAGTCGTCGCTGTTCGTTGCTGTTCGTCGCCGTCAACGACGGTGACCGTTGGATATTCGTCGACGCCGAACGGAGGTACAGTATACGCGTCGCTCTCGTCGACGTTCACGCGATAACAACACCTGCGATGCGCGTGTACACGTTCTCGCGTGCACGTCTGCGGGTCTTGCGATAAAAACAAAAAACCTCCCCCCCCTCCCCCTTTACGGTTCGATTGGGTAAGATCATTTTTTCGAGATCAAATTTAAAAATCGGCCGATTCGATGTTCTCGTCCCATCCGGTTCTCGCTCGACTACACTTTCACACGTGCTAACGTCGCTCCGTAACGCCGCGAAAACGGTGTTTCCGTCTGCCACATCTGGACCGCACGGCATGTGCCTTGTTGCGTGCCGTCGCTCAATCGTATTTGATAGTTAAGTTTTTAAAGGATAGACTTCAATAAAATACTCAATTGTAATTTTAACTGTTTATTTAGCATAAAAACATTAATATAAGAAATAATGTGGCGTGAAGGTGCTTGCGTCTTTACCTGTAAACCACATCTGAATATTGGTCTGTTCCCAACCCCCTCATATACTTAGGTTTGGCGAAGATCAAACGTGCCGCGCTGGGCGATAGTTGTTTTCAACTATATTAATTAATTTTTCTCTAGCCCGCTAATTATTACCTAGATGACCTTATTCGCACTTATTTAGTTCTTATTCGCACTATATTTGTCACGACTTTTTCCAATTAAAATTCTACATATAACCATGCGATTCACATATAATATATGTACTGGTTTACCCTCTGACTTTTAATTAAAATTCATTTCTATTTTTACGAATGCGAATATTGTGTTAATAATAATTATTTTCTTGATATCTACCATTACGATCTACATGGTCCCGTCCATGTCGTATGAGTCGTAAGGACCTACATTCATGTATGTCCGCAACAGCCTCTTGATCGCGCAACGAACACTTATTCCGTTGTTTTTCGTGTGTCGCGCGACAAACGCATTTCGATCCGATACGGAGCGCAACCGGTAAACGGACGAAATGCGTCCGCGTCCGATTCGCACGTAGTACCACCGCGTCCGAATCGCTCGGTATACGGGGTGCGTGTTGCGAGCGGGAAGGTTTTTTCTCGCGTTTTCTTTTCTCCTTCTCACTCGGTTAATCGACTCTTCGAGAAAACGTTGCGTTGCGCGCAGCGGCTCAACTATAGGATCTTGGGGCCCCGACGATTGGATAGCTGATGGAGAGGCGCTGTAATTATTCACGTACTCGCAGCGAATTATTTATTTCAACGCAGACCGGTGTTCGCCGCTTACTGTTATCTATACTCGATTCTTTCGCGTTAAAAAAGGCCCTCCAAGTCGACGTCTGCGTGGGGACCCCGACGTCGAGCCCGGCCATCCATCCCGGTGGGTCGTTGCGCGATCGCGACTTCAACGCGTACACCCGGTATATCGTGCGATTACATTTATTGCGGTTGATCGTTTTAACGCGCTCGAGAAATGCCGTATCGTTACGATAACGTATCGAGAAACGTGTCGGTTGGCTGAACGAACGCGCGGTATCAACGTTTGTACGGATAATTCTGAACTTGATGGGCAAAAGCGCGTTCGGGTCGCGTATCGACATTTTAAACGTCGTTCGAACTGTTTTGTAACTAGCTGCTCGATACTTTTTTATCTTTCGTCCGGGTAAGATTTTAGCGTTGATATTTCCGTTTGTATGTACCGGTTTACTACGTTTAAGTAATTGTTATTATTATTAATTTATTGAGTTATTTCCAAAAATAAAAGGTTGGTTTCCTTAGTTATCTTTAATTGAAAAACGTAATGTTGGTCAGCACACCACACGGCGATATTCAGAGCTCTAATTGTTTTGAATACTGGTTTATTGTAAAATAAATAATCTAAATTCCCGTTGAATTCCGTTCCCGTCGATGGAACAAAATATGTCGTCATTTATTACCGTACGTCGATAATGCCGATATCCCAAGGTCAATGAAATAAATATACAAACCGTCGGTTGTATTGTAAAATTATTATTTTAGAAGTCGTGTTTCATAAAAGAGAGAAACCTTTTCAAAGGGAAACCTATTTTACGAACCCATTGTGAAATAAATGTGCCATCACATTACAGAGTGTGCAGCAACAGTCTACAGATTCCTATAGCGCAGCGCATGACTATAAAAATTAATTTTTCGACAGTTCGTAATCGAATTGAAATTGCGCATACGATGAGCGACAATTCTGTTTATGTGATATTCCATTTGCTCTACGATTACGTTATTATTATATGATATTTTTTTGGTCAGGAATTGTGTCGTAAAAAATGCTTATTGACTGTTACGATTATTCATAGACTTTTATAGGCCATTCTAAAAATACAAATCAAGGACGTCAAATGTGTTAAACGTTCTAACAATCGCTTATTATTCATACGGTTGTCTTTTGTGTTGCGCTCGGACTCGCGATGAATTCGTTACCAAATAATACCATTACGGCCGTATCCACTTTTTGGACTACAAAACACTTTGTTATTGTAATAAATACGAATAATATTAATATTTCAGGTAGTTACTATCCGTTATGATTGACGTAATAGGCGTGTTATAATGCGATATGTTTACGGACACCGCGGGTTGTGATAAACGATGCATCGTTTTTAATCTGAAATGTCATTAATTACGACCATTGCTTTTCGACTTGAGAAATTTATAACCATTTCTGAGTGCGAACGATGATACTCTCTGAACACGTAGATGCATCATTTACGAGTTCGTATCAGCGTTTCAGATTTCAACCATTTTTTTTTCTCCTAGAAATTAATCGTATCGCTATAATAATATTTAGTGAAACGGGTCGCAGTGGATAAAAACTTATTTATTTTCTCTTCGAACACACGTTATTGTCAAAATTTTCATAACAGCGTACACTTACGATCCGCGTATCGTTTCTGCGGCGACCGCAGTCCTTTCAAACCGACTGCAATGAACGTTTCGACCGAGATGACTTTTACGTAACAATATTAGCATTTGGTATTTTCGTCGCGTCGACTGTAAACGGTAGATAATACCTCGTACCTCGTTTGAATACCCACTTAAAAATTCAGTGTACAGCTGTTAATCCGACCGGTTGATCGCAGTACCGTATTTCCCAGTAAACACTATAAGCTCAGGACAGCAATTTCTCAAGGGCGGCAAATAATTTAAATTTAACGTTTTTATTACGTATGTAATCAGAACTAAAATAAATGCAATTGATTGAAAAAATGTTTTATTTCATTAAAGCCGATGGGGTTTAGTACTAATAGTTTTCAATTTGGAATATAATTTAAAAATAAATAATTTAATTTAATTATTATTATTTAATATTTATTATTATTATATATATTTAATTATTTCATTTTCCACCACCGTGTTTTTTATCCTTATATTTTATATCATATTTTTATAATTAAGTTTTTCGTACGAACGTACGCATGCCTTTTTATAACGGCTGTATATTTTTACTTTACATCGTACGAATGTTAAGTGATAAAGGAAACTGGGAGCGTACCCAGGAATTGTTTATGGAGGGGGGGTCCAACATTTTTATTTTATCTGTTCTCTAATTATAATTATAGTTTAACTCAATACCAACAAATTACTGTTAATATACTATAGTATGGTTAGCTAACCTGGATAGGTGTATTATATAATCCATGAACTTTTGTATATTGAAGATAATGGGAAATTAAAATTCACAATATACTATTTTTATACTATTTACTATTAAATCGTTGAGTATGTAGACATTTCAATGGAGGGGTTCGGAACCGAAACACCTTCCCCATTGGGTACGCCCTTGAAGGAAACAACTATAATCGTATGCTTTAATTATGAATTAAACATCAAATCGAAACGCAATAATACAATAATTGTATCGATGTCTGAAGCGGATGTTGGATTCCGTCCAGTTCGTTTCTTCATTGTTCATTAAATTTAACCGGCCGCAACGGCACTGTTATACGCGCGTCCGTTGAGCAATCATGCGGTGTTACACATGTCGTTTCCGTATCCGAATAAGTATAAATAAACTCGTAAAGGTGTTCGCACGCCACGTGTTAACACGTCTACACACGTCACGCCGTGGCAATACGTGTTATACGATATCGCGCACGCTGTATGCAAAACGCGAGAGGGATAACACGCGCGATAAAATATGTAAAATGTATGCTTTCCGAACGTTTTGGTTTTCGTAGTCCGAAGAAAAAATATCATATCGATGGCGTAGCGCACAAGTGTGATATGTGACATTTTCGTAATTTTCAGAAGAACGATTTTTTTTTAGTTTGAGCTGTTATAACAATTCAAAAATGTAACCAACTGTAATGAACTTTTTGTTATATTTCCCTTAACGTATAATGAGCGGTGAGGATTAAAAAACCTGCAATTACCACATTTGTATTCTTAAAAAAAAATTTAAAAAAAAAATATAGTACCTAACACATTTTTTACGCGTAAAAAGTAATACTTAAACACATCACATTTTTCTTCTAATTTCAATAAGGAACAACAATTACTTGAATAATGTTATAATTTCGTTTGTGCATAATGTGCAGAATTTTATGATTTATATTTATATTTAAGTATATATGTATAATAATATTATCTAATTTGTGTAATGAATTTATGTAATTATATTTCAATGTACTTAATTGAGTGGGGATGACAAATGACGCCATTAACTTTGTTGTTGCAACAAAGGAAAAAAAAAAAAATGTTGTTCATCGCACGTCATACACGTTTTTACAAAATGCTTGCGTGTTGTAAATATGATCACAAAACTAATTGATATTCAAAAATGAATGGGTTAAAACGTGATTTAAAATTTGTGGCGTGGTGTGTGTTTACCTTATTGATCGCGAATCGTTTGAAATCGTGTAATACCGTACAGCGCGTTCGAGTCGTACGTCGAACGCGTACAATAAAAGCGTTAACAATATTCGGTTCGGTGCGTTGTTACGATTTCGTACGATTAATCGGCCAACGTTAATCGCCAACGTTCGCTGCAACACATAATTATGTTTATAACGTT